TTGGTACCAGCCACGCATTGGAAGTCCTGTTTGCATCACTGCTGGACCTGGCTGAATATTTTTCCCCCTGAACTATTAGCATTAAACTTTTTTTTTTTTCTTTTAAGGAAATTATGTCAATTTTATTGGAAGCACGCCAGCAGCCCCTAGCTGTGGGTTGTACTGCCTTCATGTCTGTAATATCCTCTCTTGTCCCCAAATTCAAAAGGCTGTTCATAAGAGTAAGGAAAACGATGCATTATCCTGGGGCAGGGTGAGGAGAGGGACAAGAAGGAAATACAGTCCATGCAGCTGGAGTGATTGATGTGACTGTTTATGATGAAAGAAATGAAAACTAGAAATCTGAGAAAGTAATGATCTTTCCAAGAGAATGACTTTCACTGGAACCACAATACAAACTCACATGCTGACCTCCTTTAAATTATTGCTGAAGTTTTCAAAGCAAAGCAGGGATGGCACTGAAAATTTTGCTCCTTTGTTGATTCCCAGGAGCTCAGAATTTCCAGCAACAGCAGGAGAAGGGTTCACTGTGAGATGCACGCATGGCATCACCTCCCTTCAGAATGTGAGGTGCTTTGGTCATAGGTTTGAGTAAAAGGGCTTAAGAGGCCCATTTAGCACTGTCCATTAAGCATGGTGGTGAGCTGGAGAAAGGCTTCCCCTGCATACATCATCTCGCACATTGATATGCAGGGCGAGTGTGCTCAGTAGGAGGAACAGGACTTAACAGTATTTCTGATGAAGGGAAGAGCCTAATGTTGCATCTTTGGAAAGATCAGTTATCCATCTGCCAGCCGTCTATCTTTGGCTATGGCTCTTACCTGGCCTCAGTTATTACCGTATGTAACCGCTTCACAACCACTAATATTTTTATCTTTTCATCCTCCCTGTGGAGTTGGGAAGTGCTATTACCTCTGTTGCAGAACTAAGAACTGAGATTAAGGGTCAGATTTGTTATAGCATTTAGGTGCTCAATGGGATTTTCAAAAGTACCTAACACCCGATGTAATAAGTGGAACCTGAGTACTTTGATAGTTTGGAAAATCCTGTTACTTGTGTCTTTTCTTTGAGAGTTTTGGGCTTACGTGACAGCCTGGGGTCCATAGGAGAGGTTGCCGTATCGTGAGTAGTCACCCAGACAGGAGACTGTCTCTTCATCCACCTTCTTGGAGATTGTAGGTGGGACAGGAGCAATTTTATGGCAGTGCCATAAAATTTTATGCCAGTGGGAGGAAGTAGCTTATCTCAGTCCCAAATTCAGCATGCTGTAATTCTGTGGATAGCAGTGAATTTACCCTCCTTGCACAGCTCTGTGAGAAAGGTCAGAATCTGGTCCTGGAAATGCTAGAACGAAAATAAGCAGCACCCATGGTCAATAAAAAGGGCTTATGTGCCAATTGCTAGGATGGTAAATTTAAGAGCAGGAGCAAATAATGAAACAATCTATATTCATGCAGCCACTTTTCCAGCCTACTGCTGTAAGTATGAGCTTACACCTAACTGGGAGATGTGAGTCCTACTGAAAGCTCCAGAGTATCACACTGGAAAACAAATGTTGATTTTGAACAAATGATCTGTTCATCGCTAAATCATTTTCTTTCATTATTAGTCTTCAAATTGGTTCTGCTCTGGAAGACAGAATTAGGTTTAAAAGCAGAGTGTCTCTTAAGCACTTGCTTCAAATGAAAATATTCGGTAAACATTACTCAAACCCCCTAGAGCAAAAACTCTTCAGCTGCTTCCTCTGGCTTTGCATAGATTTTTCAGCTCCTGGTTTAAAGACAGGTGTCGCAGGGATTCATTCAGGATAGCAGAAAGTAATCAAATTAAATCCCTTACAATGATAGGGCCCTCAAATGCCAAGGAAAATTTTATTAAGACCTTTTTGTCCTTATTTATAGTAGCATAAATTGGGACGAAAGTCCCATGCAAACAGATGGAGTTACACCAATATCAAACATGTAAGAGAGAGAAGAGTCAGACTCCAAACCCATGGCACAAGCACAAAACCACGTGGGCTGCAAAACAGAATTTCTCATCATTGAAAGAGCTGCGCTTTGCTGTTACAGAATTTGCACTCATTTCCATTGTTTGAAGGTTCTAAAAAAATCTGCATGGCTTCAAAATTATATTTTTAACATTAAAGGGATGGGTTTTGGTTAATTCAACATGTCAGCAAGATTGCAGCTGTCTGAGGCTAGTGATTTAGGGTGCCAGAGTGGGGGTCAGCTCAGCTAACTTTAAAAAACTCACGTGGTGCTGCAGGGAGCAGGGTGAGTTATGGAGCAGCAGCAAAGCCCCAGCATTGTAAGCTTGTCCCATGATACATCATAGACTATAGAGGGATGCTCAAGAGGGTCATTTGTGCCTCCATGAGGCAAGAAGCTCTGGAGGGATTAGGATGTGTCTAAAATAGCATGTTTTTTCATCAGTGTTTGGGAGATGCTGTTATCCTGCCTGAAGTTTTTCATTGGGTGGAGGAGGGAGAACAACTTATTCTCTTTGTTAGATATGAAAGGAGAACAAAACTTTGGGACGATGTTATCTAACTGTTATCCTAAGTACTTGGTAGCTTGTTCAAGGCATGAATTTAACTCGATTTGACGTTATGGGGACCTGTGTACACAGGAAAATATATACAAGAAGGTCCTCTCTTGATTCCCCCCCAATGCAGGAAGACATTCACTGATCTCCCAGCTCTCTGCACTCTGCAGTAAAGCACTGGTGTGGGACTGGGAAGCTGATCCTGTACAGAGTAGGAATTGAGAGCTGCTGCTGCAAATGAATGCATTTGCACTGTGGTGTCTGAACATTGTTTTGCACTTAGAAGATTTATTTCTCAGTGGGCAGAATAGCTACAAGATTAACAGATGAACAAATAAATTGAGACAACCAAGGGATCAAACAAATTGAAGAGTCACTAAGATGTTGGAGACCTGAAGAGTCACCTGGCTATGGTTCTTGGGAATTATTTTATCCTCAGATTAGCTCAGTTGTCTTGGGGTCTGACACAGACTCTGGTGAATTTAGCTACAATGACTTAAGACATTACTGGTCTTAGCTGTCTGTGTCTCCTGTGGAGGATCTGGCCTTTGGAGCAGAGGCAGCAGGAGGGAATGTGTGCCTGCATCCCAGCCACTGCAACTCAGATCTTGGGGGCTTAGTGCAAGCAGAGCATCCTTCATTTTTAAGGGTAGACACCAGCTTGTGAGCTGCACTACCAAAGATGAGAGTGTACTGTATCCCTGGGCAGAAATCTCCAGGGAAAATATGGGACAGACAGTGTTAAGCCGCTGTAATGAAAGCCACCAGAGTGCATGTCCCAGAGCCCTGTGGCTGTGCACTGTGGCTGTTTTTACCATAAAGAAATTCTAACAGATATTGGAAGGGCAGTTATTGCAATTGGAAGGTCAGAAGGAATCATATCCCAGGTAGCACTATTTAATGTCAATCATTCCTTGCAAGCTTTTTCTCCTCCATGCAATCTGCAATTCAATCAGGGGGGAGAAAAAAAGTGAGTAGCAGCAGCTTTAACCTTAGGTTCCTCAGACAGGAACCACCCTGTGATAGCAGTGGAGGGATCAGAAGAAAGTTTATGTAAGATGTAGTTTCCCTGCAGAGAGCAAACAAAAATCAGCTCAGAAAGATTGTGCAGTGACTGCTAACCATGAGACCATGCTTGTTCCTTGGCCTGCGGATGCCTCAGTTCTTCCCTGAAATTTAGATTTAGTTGAGTCAGCCAGGAAATTATGGATGAGTTCGGGGTCTTGAGGGAAGGGTGTTCAAAAAGCAGCAATATGAAGACACTGACAAGAGGGAAAGTCATAACTTGAAAAGTGCCACACAGAGGGAACTGTGCCTTTGCTTTATTGAACTGTTGGCTGCAATAAATACAGCTGAATTCCCTCGGTCCCCCAAAATGTTGTCTCAGTACCAGCAGGAGTCCATTTAAGAATACACTTACTTGCACAAATGATTATATATGAAGAGCAGAGAAACAGCTGAAGTGTTACTGCAGTAATGCAAGCAAATCCTAAAAGCTGCCCCAATAAGCTCGGTGGTTGTGTGCTGCCCTGTGCTGCGGTTGTGTCAGGGCTGCCTGCCCCAAGCAGTGGAAGCAGAGGAGCTTCTGTTCTAGTCCTGCTACCTGCTTCACCTGAGGACATCATAGTCTAGATTTTATGACGGTACAGTAAATAAATGGTGATAAAATCAATGAAGAGGATATTCCCAAAGAGGGAGAATTCTTTTCTATTACTATTTTCAATACAGAAAATAATAAGAGACTGTATTATAAAGAAGAGAAGAGACAAGTATAATACAAGACCTATGAATGGATAATCAGCAAGGAAGACTGAACCTTGCGCTTCTACATTTGACAGCATTAACCCCAATTGCCTGAACTAAAAGATTTGGTTGTGTTAGTGCTATAACAGGATTGTCAGATACTTGTGTGGCATATCCATGGCTAAGAGGGGTTGAAGCACTGCAGAAGGGAGCACGGCTGTGAGCAATGTGATGTGAGCATAGGTCTGGAGACCAGGAATTTTGGGGTCTTCAGCCTGGTTGTTTTCATCAATTTCCTTATGTCCTTAAACCCTTCCAAACCTCACCTTACCCGGAGTGGGGAGAAATAATTTTTCCCCACTTGAACAGTGGTTTGAGGAAGAAAAGTGTTTGCACTCTCTGTGCAGGTTTACTGCTTTGCTAATATCCCCTGTTATCACTGATTAGTTAGAAATCTGAACATGCACAATGGGGGAAGCTTTTTTTGCACCTTGCATAGCAAAGTTGATATTAAATGTTAGCAGATTGGATTTGTGATGTGTTTTACCATATTGTGCATGAATTCTTTCCATTGACTAAACCAGGCATGGAACTGAACATCAGGAGGTCCTAAAGTGCTGTGCAATGGGCAGTCAGGCTGTGCAAGCTGACAGCCTGAGATTGAGCATGAGTATTCAACCCACCGGGATCTGTAACTCCACTTTCTGTTACAGACTGGAGTCACCCACACGTGCACTGGTGATGGAGGCTCCAAAAGGCATCGAGATCAACGCCGAGGCCGGCAGCTTGAAAGCCACTTGCAGGACAGAGCTCAGGCTGGAATCCAAAGACGGAGAGGTAAGCAAAGGACATCAAGCCCTGCAGCAAAAACAAACCAACCCACAGATCTCCTGCAGATTTGTAGCCTTCTGAGTGACTGAGCTGCTGCATTTGAAGCACCGGTGTGAAAGCAGACCTTCCTAGCTTACTTTCTGCTAGCAGTGATTGAACATAGCGTATGCAGATGAGACTCACTCTGTGGCAAAGGCTGATGCATTATTTTAAAACTGCTTGGATAATAGCATCTGTTGTTCAAGCAGATTTATGCAGCTGTAAAATATGCGGTGCTCCTAAATTCTTTTGTTTCCTTGTCACTTTAAAACAAGATTTACTTGGCCAACGTAATTAAGTCTTTTATCATACATTTTTCTATAAGAAGAGCTTAATTCACTGGTATTGATCTGAAAAGCTTTTGTAGATGATGTTTTCATTTTGGAAAGAAAGGAAACATTAGGAGACACAGGTTGTTGCACTGGGGAAGCTCCCAAAGGGGAAGAGAGAATAACTAAAACTGGTAACATGGACCAAAAGTAAAATAGGTGTTGAGTTAAGCCCTTTCTGGTGTCTCAAAAATACATGGACACATGGCTCTCATCCCCTTCTGCCACAGTGGTGGAAGACACCAAAGGATGTTGCTGAGGAGCTCCTGCTGGGGAACCCACCATGAGCCTGGACAGGAGGACTTCCCATGGAATGCAAACCTCCAGGCATCAGGGCTCCAACATTAGCTAACGTTTTTCTGTCTTAGTGTCAGATGTCATAAATAGAATGGGATTTTTATTGCAATTCCTGTTATTTCTAAACATTTGCATTTTAAGACATAACAAACACAGTCCACATTTGTTAACAAAAAAAACTTTGAAAAATAAAAAAAAAACCCTAGCTAATATACTACAATTGAAATCCAAGGCATTTCACTACTGCAAGCAGTTGCCTTGATGTTTTTAACACTGTTGCTTTTAAAGTGCATGTACTGACCTGTCTCTTTCAAATTAGATGGTTGGATACTAAAACTGGAGACTCTTACTGTAATTGCAAGATAAATAGCAAATACTGCCAGTCACCCTGTGATATTCTGGTGTGCTGGTTATTATCTTACTGTGCTCTACTCAGTGATGTTAGAGCACTCTCCTGTAGCTGCCATGTATCTAAGAGCTGCCACATGTTCATTTTTATGTTCTATTTTATAAGGAGAAATTCAGGTCTGTTATGGCATTTAAGTTATTTTTAATATACATAAAAGTGTTACACGTATACATAAAATATACATAAAAGTCAGTGCTGTGGGCCTGCAAGCATAACTGGCAATGGGATTACAGTGCTGGTGGAGGAGAGGAGTCATGGCATGGATGTGAAGCATACGTGCTCCCCACCTAGCAGTGGGGTATCTCTGGTTGAGTTAACCCAAACACAGAGGTGCCACAGGAAGCTACGAGCCCAGAAAACACGGTGGATAGATCAGCAGAAACACACTGGAGGTCTTAGAGGGCTCATGGTAAAGGCAGATCATATGGTCACCGAGATTTCCATCTGACTTTCCCATCTTAATACACTTGCCTACCTAGTTTTGTAGCAGTTGAGTTGTCCAAAGGAAGCTTCTCTAAACACAAGGTCAAAAATAACCTCTCTCCACTAATTTTTTCTCTCTTTTTTTCTCTCCCCCATCTGACTTCAGATAACGTTGAACTCTGCAAAAATCAAACTACCTAACTTGCCTCAAGGATCTTCCTCTTCTGCAGGGTCCAGGCAAAAAATCTACGAGCTCTGTGTGTGTCCCAACGGGCGGTTATTTCTGTCTCAGGCAGGCACTAGCTCAACCTGCCAGATAAATACAAGTGTCTGCCTTTGAGAGACAATTTGCAGTGGGGCATCACAGGCAGCACAAAAATCAGTTCTGGTCTCACAGATTGCAGCTGCCAACTATTTTTACTAGAACACAGAAAGCCTATCAAAGACTTTTTTTGTGTGTGCGCGCGCGTGTGTGAATATATATATAAAAATATATATATAAAATATATATATAT